ATGCTGGCTGGGGAATTCTGGGAGTTGAAGTCCACTCATCTTAAAGTGGCCAAGTTTGGACAACACTGTGCTAGATGTTTCTGCTCCCTGAAACATACAACTGGCAGGCTGCAGCTCCTCAGATCTCTTCCAGGCAGCTATGAGGATGAAAGTGACATCTGAGCAGCTTAATGCAAACAGGAGGAAAATAATGAAATACTTCAAATAATTGTTATCATCTTATTGCATTGTCAAAATAGCATTTGAACAGACAGGCTCATTACTTATCCACTCAGTTTGGCTATACTATTGTTAAATCACAGTGCTTCATTTCAATGTCGTTGGAGGCTCTGCAAGTGTTTTTCAGTTTGACGTTACCCAAGAGCTGAAAAACGGAAGCATTAATAGCTAGACGAGGCAGGTAGCAGAGCTGAGTCACCAGTAGCTGGGCCAACAGCTGCAAGGAGAAAAGCTAGCGCTAAAATGAAATCCTTTGATGGCATCTCCTGCATGCCGACTTAGAGCATCTCTCATTAACACTGATTTCCAGTCTGAACATTTCATTCGCCTCCATTTTGATTTCTCATTGTTTGAAAGGCTACTGGGAATCATCAGTTCCCCTTAAGAAACATACCTGCAAAACTCCAAGAGCTCAAGAACAACCAGCACAATGCATTTGGATGTGATTTTTTTTTGTTCTATAAATACATCTCTTTAAAATATAACCCAAACAGAACTTTATAAAATATATGGGACTTAAAGATGCCATCTCCCATAAAAAATCATGCTTGATTCTCGGAGATCTGACTAGCTTAGATCTGACCAGAAAGTCAAAGGGGAAGCCAGCAGGGAAGACTGCATGTCACTGGGGTAAGTCTCACCCACCCTTGCACCCTCCTGAGCCTCTGCACTTATGCTGCACTGGCTACTTGCACACCCATGCACACCCTCCCCAACCCACTTGGTACCTCTCGCGCACCTCTGCCCACTCCTTTACTCATTCCCCACCCAGCAGCAGCCGCTTACCTGCCTGTGAGCCTCGGATTTCCTGCCAGCTTCCCCACTGACTTTGGTTGTGGTAAGCTGGCAGGAAGTTGCCTCACCTAACGACCATGGGATTCAGTTAATGACAGCAACCCTGATAGCAGGGATTGCCATTGCTCAGCAATGTGGTCGCACTTTACAACCACATCACTTAGCGATGGAAATTCGATCCATTGCTGTCATAAGTCTACTTGTAAATCACAATGCATTAAATCAGAATATTGAACTAACACTAGTGGTCTGGGTTGCATACATCTGTAAGCATCACTCAATGCCAAAGCAAAGCTAGTTAAGGCTTAGCATGGAATATGAACTAGGTTACTGGGACTGGAGAAGCATTTTGGGCCAGGCATGTTCAGTCTACAAGCTGCATTCAACACGCACTCACAATCAAACTTACCGGGCTATGGTCACAAGTGTTGGTTTTGGTAAGCTTCCCAAGAGATGTTGTATAGACTGTATAAAACTCTCTATCTCCTCTTCAGTACTAACATGGTGAGGAATTTCTGAATAATCACATGTAAGGCCAGCTTGATGGACCTGAGAAATGAATGATGTGTATTTGTTTATTAGTGTATTGCTCAAGAACTCGCTCTCCAAGCAAAAAAACAAAAAACAAAAAGCAAATAATCCAATCAAAAGTATAGGTGATAAGAGAAAACCCTTGAAGACATTAATGCACTTTTCTGATTACATTCTCCAGTCGTAATCACATAGTGGTTTGCCAGTTGTTCAAACCAATATACAAAAAAATTACAAAGATAAAACAAGCAAAGAAAACAAAAAACAAGAAAACAGTAATAACACAATAACTACAGGTACCAGCCCATTGTATATAAGTAGCAATAATGACATCTCTGATGGCCTTTCAAAATGATGCCAAACTTGATAGCATCTGGGCTTTGGGGAGGCCAGTTCTTAAGAAAGATTTTCATAGAAAAACATTGTTGCCAAACCCCCACCCTTCTCATCTCACATGCATAAGGAACCCTTAATATACTTGAAAAATAAGCCTATTGCTCAATAAGCATACAGAAGGGATTAACTCCACATGGAGGAAAGCAGTCCTGAACAAATCCTTACTGTGCTTGCTTTAAAATGGTTTGCTTGAGAAATATTTCAGAATCAAGCCAACTTCAGACCTTCGTTTATGAACTTGAGTTCTTTCAAACAAACCATAATTATTTCAAAATTGTTCAGGCTTTAAGAACAACACTAAACTATAGTTAAGTTAATTTCAGCTTCTGATCTCACAGATGAATGAGTGCAAGGGAAGAGAGAAGAGAAGCTAACCTTGATATGATAACATCCGAATGCAACCAGTATCTGAGTGTCAATATCCACATGGTAATATCATGGTCTAGAAATAGTAACAAATAAATAAGCTTACCATCTCATAATCTGGAGTACCCATTCGATCTTTCAAATTATGTACAAGTTGAACTAGAGGTTTCATTCTACATTGGATTAAAATATAAATTGTGCAATTAATATAAAGAGGAAATGCTCCAGGCATATATTCTAAGCAAGCTGGAGAAACTATGCTATCCAATACCTCATAAATTGTACCATTCTGCAAACTGTATGGCTTTCTGTTTTTAAAGTTTTATTACATTAAGATGGCAACTGCAGAATTTTTCCAGAAAAAAGTAAGATTTCAGTATCAGGACTGAAGCCCCATTCTTTTAAGGTATCATATAATATCAACTTAAGCTGGTGAAAAATTGTAGTTAGGCCTGTTTCATTCATAGATATGGACAAATGTATGCCTAGCATCAGTATGGATGGATGGATGGTTTTCTACTAAAAAGAAATGCATTTTTTAAGAAGTCAAGTGCAGGGCTTTGGTGGTGGAGGTATCTGTCCTATTTCTACCTAAAAGCATGCTTGGTGCTTATAGCAATACTGATTATTTAAAAATATTTAATAATATTTTCTAGTAGATATTTTCTGCCTCAAAGATCCTTTGAACAGGCTGTAACACTTGACAGACTTCTTCGTCTGTACTTATTTCTCTCTTTCATTATTTATACCTTGTTATTGTGGCAACCCCATAATTCCTTTGGCGCAAATCACACTGAACTGGTGTCGCCATGGTCAAAACAAAATGTCATGGCTGAAAGGAGCAGAGATTAAATATGGAAATAACCAATATTTTGAAAGATTCATTGAGGTATAAATAAAATTTGATACATGATGGCTGCCTTGATATGAAAATTATGGTCTTATATAGGATTTATGAAGAATTCCAGCAAAGATTAATCAAGTATGAAGATGTTCTTCCTCCAAAAGTAACTGAGTTCCCAGAATCACTTCCTTAAAAGTCTAGTTCATGGTAGCCTTGGTGTCAGGGTTATAGTGCAATTACAATACCCAGGATTTGCAGCCCATCTTTTCAGATTTTCTTCAGTGTCATCATCACATAAATCAGCAAAAGCTGCTTCTAGATCTTCCAACTGGTGTGTGCGACTCTCAACACAGTCGAGCAACTCCTCCTTTAAATATAAAAGCAGAAAGCACTTGAGCAATTGTATGAAGCTAGAAGGCCAGCTACACGGTTGAGGAAATGCGGCCATATTTTTGCTGTGGTAAATATGGGCACTGCGTAAACCTTCAGAATCAACTCCTAAAAATCTACTTCGAAGAGAATGTAGCACTAGCTGCCATTCTTTAAAGCAGTGATGTCCTGGGATTGCTGGATGCTTTAAGGAGTTGGAGGCAGGTTTTCTGTTCATGCTCCCATGTGTTCCAGAGCACATTTTGGGAATCAAAGTGAAAGCACTACCCAGCCCTAGAAGCCATCCCTTCTGTTTGCCCTTACCCCCCTCTGATCACTTCTCTTCCAAACCTCTTATATTCTTCTTGAGATAAACAATTTTGACAGACCATCTCCGCCATTCCCCAGTGAGAATTACGAGTGCCATACCTCTGATAAATTGCTTTTAGGCTTCTTAAAACTGTACAGTTCTTGTAAGAGTTTGTATTCCTCCTATATAAATAAAGAGAAGAAAAAAGCTATTCACAGCATACTGAAGTTATATGCCATTAATCACAACAGCATTTTCTTTATAGTCCCCCTAAGCTCAGTTTATAGGAAATTGCCTATACTATGTATACTTTGTTTTTATTAGACATCTTCTCTGTTTTCTCTGTCAAAACCAAGCTGCATAAGATCACAGCTATTCTGGATTTTTCCACTTACAGAATATTATACATTTCCACGTACAATTCCATTGTTACATTTTAAAATTTGCTTTATATCCCCTCTTTCACTCAAGAGAGGGTATGAGGTCTCCTCTGATTTTTCCCAACAACACTGCATGACCTTCCATGGCTGAGGGAGGACCAACCTGAATCTCCCTATTCTTAGGCTAATGTCTTAACCACTATACCCACATTGCTCTTTAAGATCTAACTTTTAAAATTCTATTTTTCCTAATCTTACTTTAATTGGTGCTTGATCATGAATGCACTATACTGCTGCTTTATTTGGATGTTATAGTCTAACCGTCATGAAGGAAGTAACAGGGTTGCCATCACTCGCCTCATAACAGCCATTATAAGCCACCATCTTGGTCCCCTGGTCAGACTACCATTCTCCATAGGTGGATCCTGCCTTACATGTATGGGCTACTTTGCAATTTAAAATCCTGACTGTACAATGGTCTAAATGTTCCCCTGTACAGATGTTTGCCCAAGGCATGACCTAGCAAGGACATCATAATACCATATAGATGATTTTTATTATTTTGAGTGCTGTTAAGCTGCTTCAGTCATATGACTCTAAGAAGCATACAGAAGTATCTTTGAACTGTACTGCTAAAATCACATCTTCAACAAACAGTATCAGTAAAACAGTACATAGTCACAATAGAATAACCTATCCACTACTGCATTCCCTATTTGTACTAATGGAGTCATCACTCTTCAACAGTGCAATTGCTCACGAGACTGTCCTGAATGCTCTAACAACTAGGTTGTCAAGGTTTCCAAATGTCAGGAGTGAGGACAGTGGCCTTTTACCTGGTGGGAGAGGAGGTCCTGCTAGAATTGCTTGCCTCTGAATATCCTCCTATTCTTGTGAGTAGCAAGAACCATCTATAGGCACTCCTTGGACAGGAGGATTCTATTTGCCACAAGTTGCTCGATATATAATCAGGCCCCAAGCCATGATAACCAGCACCTGAATTACACCAAGAAACCAAATGCAATTCCCACAGTTTTTGGAGTTCTGTGGTTATACCAGGTAGTCCCAGTTAGCATGTGGGCAGGTGTATACTGCATTAACTGAAGTTTCCAGATGGTCTTCAAGGACAATCCCATATAGTGTGTGTTATGGTAGCCCAAAAGGCGAAATGACAAGGATGAGAGAGTTGCCAGATTTGGTTTCAGGAACAGCCACCAACCAAAGCTGGGCAAAAGCCCTCTTGGCCACAGCTTCCACCTGCTATTTTCAGCAGGAGATGAGAGTCTAGGAAAACTCCCAAACTGCATACCAGCTCTTTCTGTGGGAGCACAACCCCACTGAGTGCTAAAGTTGGTATTGTCCCAGACTCAGTCAGTCTCTGAATCAACAGCCACTTGCTGTTGCTAGGGTTAAAATTTCAGCTTGTTTCTTGTGATCCAGATCTCTACAGCCACCAGGCATGGGGTCAAGATTTCCACTACATCTCCCAATGGTCTGGGACAGGGATGTAAAACAGAACATCATCAGTGTCCAAATGGTTGAATGACCTCTCTCAGTGATGCAACATCTCTTTTTCTCTGTTCATGAGATTAAAATTAGAATTCATCAAGGATAAATGCCCAAATAAGGCTTAGCAAATTAGTAATGTCTTCTTTCTTCTAAACATGGAGAGGGAGAGGGCTCCCAAAAGGGACTCCACATACATTGCCTCTCTCAGCTGTCCCACCAAACCATAGGTTAATTTTCCCAAAACATATGTTCTTCCTTGATTCCAAGGAAGTTTTGTTTTTGTTTTTCTTTAAAATTAAGGTGGACATATATAAATACTGTCAAAATAATACCCAAGCCACAATTGGCACATTTCTACGGCAGTCACCTAAGATTTAGGTGGAAAGAAAGTGGGACATATCTTGTTATAATGACAGCCACAGCTACCTCTTATTTAGTGGGAAGACTGCTACCCTAATCACAGGAAGTATCTTTGACAGAGAAGCTATTGAAATTACAAGCCACAGAAGCAAACTCCTCCCCATAAAGTGATTTAATCCTTTTCTAATGCCAGTGTTGCATTAATGCTCCCAGTCCACTGATCCTTATATATGCATCAGTGAACCACGCAGAGGCAACTGAATTCAAGGATTCAATCCACCTGCCAAATACTCTGTCTAAACTAGTTGGGTGGGGAATGGGGTCCAGCGACATCATTACTGCTAAGCATTAAGGGAACAGGGGAGAGGGCAGCATGGGGACCTGTGGTGGCTGACTTCCATGCAATCAGTACAGGGACTAGACAGACATTGAGGTGAGCAATAGGGCACCGCTATGTCATGTGTCCTGAAGAACACCTTCTTACTCAGATAGCAGCAATTGCAATAATCTGGGCTTCTGGCTGAGCCCAACTCAGTCCCTCTTTTCTTTCTGACAATCCACCAAACATGACTGCTCAAGAGGAGGTTGGCATGCTTGGTCTTGATAAGGAGAATCCATGCTGGAACCATGGTCCTGGTTGCTGTTGCTGGTGGTCCGCAGGACATTCCAGCCTACTACTCCTGGATGCAATTGAGTTTCTAATACTCAGAACAGCAAAGTACGCTTATAAGAAACACACTTGCAACAATGATGTTTTGTTCTGAGCAAAGAAAAGCAGGTTTTCTTCTGTATTCAAAATTCTCAAAGCACTTCAGATTCTGCACAATGAATTTTGCACACCCCCAATGCTCAGAGGGGCTATGTTAGGGATCCAGATTGTAGGGTAATTATACTGCTGTTTTGTTTTACCACTGCATTGTAAACTGCTTTGGGCAAGTACTGCAAATAGAAACGGCAATAGAAAAGATTCTGAACTAAATGTCGCAGTTAAGGGGGGGGAACATCTTTTGAGATATGTCTTCTTTAAAGACAACAGCTGATGGGCAAGACTGAATAGATGTTGCAGCTGGACAGTTACCTGAGTGTATATTTCTTTGAAAGGATTCTTAACCGAAAAGAAGTCCAAGTCAATATCTAAAACATAAGCAGTGCTCTTCTGCAGCACTTGGAGAATGTCTTTGACAAGTTCTGTCATTTGACATGGGTGTTTTCCAATGGAACCAGATCCACCGGGAACCTGGAACTTGCTTGGCTTCTCATGGACAGAGATTCTCTTTTCACAGCTGTCAGACAGCCCATCTGTGCAACTCTGGGTCAGGTCACCAGGGTCTTTTGATGAAGAGGCATCCCCAGGGTCATCCACGCTTAATTTGCATTTCTTGGCAGAAAGTGGAGCTTGGTTGCCTTCCCAATCGCCAGCAGCTTTGGAGGGATTCACAAGGCAGACACTCAGATGTAAAGATTTTTTGTTCTCCAGCTGACCAGCAGGGACATAAAGACCATCAGAAAGGAAGTAAGCATCTGTGCTTGTAACCCTGGAACAATAAATGCTTATTGTTAGCTTATTTCTATCAATACTAAAAGGGGATGGGCAACCCATGGCCAGATAGGCCTCTGCAATCATCAGTTCCTCCCTCAAGTCAAATTATTGTGTACTTTTCCCCCTAAAAACATGAAGAAAATTGATGAGCTAAGTCTCTGCAAGGTTGATATACCATTTTCCTTTAAAAAAAAAAATCAACCACCACCAAAACAAGATTAAAAGTTTGGCCCTACTCACAATCTGTGCATTGTTACCATGCCCCCACAGCTCTTGGAGGCTATGATATTTTTAAAAAGCCTTCATAGGCATGTTATAAGAAATGTCTTGTTGGAACACACCCAGGGTTCATTCCGTCTGACACTTTTTTCCCATTCACACAAAGGCCACAAGCAGAAAGAGATGCACTAAATTCCACATCTGATCTGGACCTGACACAGTATCTTGGAAAAGAATTCAGTTAGCCTTGGACTGATCAGTAGTTCTCCAACTTTCAGATTCAGGTGCTAAATCCAAATTTTGATTTAAAAAAGCTTTGTGCCTCTGTATGATTATCACTGGATAGCAATGGTCTTTCCAGACATTTGGATTAAATCTGTTCAAATTCATGGAAATAAGAATTTTGTGCAAAGCATATTTTTAGAAAAAACCTCTACTAACACTATTCGGAGGTTCTTTTAAAACCTGGATGCAATTTCATCCACGTGCATAATCGTGTACACATATATATTTATTTGTTTTTTAAAAAATAACAAAGTAGAGAAAAAACACAGTGCGTAGCTTCTGAAATTCTTTCCAACTCCCTTAGTAGTCATGTTTATAGGAGACATCTTTATTTTCTTCTCCATAGAAGTAACATGTTAAATGTGAATGTGTGTTTTCTTCGTAGCAAGTAATGCGTTGGCCATGTGTGCTTGTGAGGGTCTACTCAGGGTGGGTGCATAGGTCTTGCTTGTGTGCGCTGTTCTTCCTTTGTATCGCATCTGTGTTTGGGCATAAATGTACATTAGAAAGCATAGGATGGGCTGCATATCCTATGCTCTAGGTCACATGACCAGGAGGGAGAAGGGAGGGGAGTTTAGAATGGAGGAGTCAGGAACATTTAGAATCACTGCCCAAATGCCTCTTCCTTTGGAAGATTTTTTCTGGAAAGTTTTTCTCTGCAGTTCTTGGCCAAATCCAGTTGATTTTTCAATTTGATCTTTCTTTTGCCAGCTTCTCCTGCCACATCAAATTTGGTCCCATTCTGTTCTCTTTAAAGACAGTTATCTTGTGACAGATACATAAAGTCTCCTGAGCCCCTTTATATAATTTCTTTCCTATATTCCATTAGATTGGAAAAAATAAAAGCAGCACAGGAGAAACAGCCTCTGCTAAAGCACCTGCAAAATTTCAGGATAGCACAATGTAATGATCTGTGGGTGGGTGGAGAATGTTTTGGATTGCAGTTGCTACAATCCTGACCCTGGGTCTTATGGAACTTATATTCTAAAACATCTGGGGGATATCAGTTTGGCTACACCTAGATGAAAAAAAAATCAGTTTGGCTATTAGGAGACTAAATAACCCATGCACCCAGTCTGAAATTTATTAGAAACAGTTATGTGAAGGAGTCAGGTGGCATATAAATTTAATAAATAATACAAAACCTATACTAACTCAGATAAACAGACACATACCCTAAATTAAACCCTTTGAATGCTGCAAGAAACATACTCCCTAAGTTACCTTATCGTAGTAGTAGAGGTATCTTTGCCCACTAAAAAATTATGAGTTCCTTCTTCTATTTGCTGAGCCCAAGCTGGATGCAGCCATATCACTTGTGAAAAATGACCAGCATAAACAGCAGGTATAATCCAGTTTTCAATGCTTAGCTCACTGTAAAAGAACACAAGGTAAATATGGGCTGAAATGTCTGAGAAACTTGGGTGCAGATGATGTAATTAAAAAAAACAAAAAACCGTATCACCAACATACTTGCCCATACAAAAACAAACCCTTCCAAGAAATATTAGAATGTTTTCATTAGATGCAACCAGAAGTACAGTGTTTCAAGATTTTTTAAAAAAAATGAGAAGTAGTATACAACGGTTTTAAATATTTATTTATTTATTTATTCATTTGTGACTTGATCCAAGACCAGGCCACAAAACTTAAAGTACAGCACACCATTAATACATACATACATAACAAGGCATACGTATACAAGAGGAAGAAGGCAGTAGCTAAATTTTTAGGTATAGTCTTAGCTAACAGAAACCATTTGGTGCCTCCAATGCATTGCTAATTTTATAGGGTTTCTTCCTCAAATAAATAAATTAATAAGTAATAAAACACATACAGATGTGTATAGCCAAGAAGATCTAAATTCAACAAGGTAACCTATGTTCTGAATTCAGGAAATTAAGACTTGCTATGTCAGGAGATATTGCACAGGTTTAGATATTTGATTCTCCTTCCACCGATTTTCTAGTAAATAAGGATAAAAGCAGCAGTAATGGCATGGTACTAGGAATGGAAGAGAACATGATGACTTCATGTTATCTAACTACAAATTGTTTCCTTATTCAATGCTAATCTACAGAAGTGATGAGTTGTTACGGAAGAAATCTTTGTACAGGTGTTATCATAAATATAGGCCAGTACAGACTTAATATTTCACCAGTTAGTGCTAGCCACGATTTACTAATTAGCATATGGATCACCACTATTAGAAACTTTTGCTATGCCACATCTATGCACAACATAACATTTAAGAACATATAAGATCCATGTACTGGCTTGAATAACATGCAAATCAATTTCCCATATGCAAACCTGAGCTATTTGGGTCAATGCACATTTAGATTTTAGATTTCACATCCTACTGAGATAATGAATCCTTGTGTACATGCCTAGGACCAGCGGAGGCAGAGATAAGAACGTCAAGTACATGAAGTAATTTTACTGTCCTACACACACAGGCTAAAGGTTGGCAGCCTAGAATGAAGGTCCACTGAAGTCTGAAAAGAGTCACAGAATATGTAGCAACAGGGTCCTGCCATAAAATGTTGCATTCTGGAATGTTCCTATTCATCATTCTATATATCTTCACCCTTCAAGGATATACAGACTGTTTGCTCTTCAACTCCCTTTAGATCAGTCTTTCTATAAAGCATTTTTATAATTCTGTAAGCCTCAGAGTTCTCCGAGCATTTTGATATACTTAGCAAATAGAATTACAGGACCTGTAGCAAAAACGTTGCAGTGTTGGGTGCTCCTGTCTGTTCTTCAATTGTTAGGTATGTCCTTTTCCAAGATATTCCATTCCACTTACCACTACCTTATCAGTCAGCATTCTGTGGTACTCCACACTCATTTAATTAATTTTGGAGCTTCCCTCTTAAATAATGTACAAACTTCATCATATGGTGCATGGTGCTGTTCTGACTACATAAGCAACAGAACTCACCTCTCAGAAGTAAAGGCAAGGATGGCTAGTTCTATGGTAACACTTACGTGAGTAGAACTCTTAATATGAGCTTCAGATGCCCCCGTCTGGCCATTTAGACAAAACACATACACAAAATTATAGTGCTTAAAGAATGTGAAGACCCAAATTACTTTGTTATTTATTTGATAAGATCAAGGATTATGTAAGAGCGCCCACCTCTGAGCTGAATAGGTTTTTGTCATATTATGTTTATGTAACCTCAGGATGCTCCAAGAACAAGGCAAATAGAGAACAGTTCACCAATAGCCAACACTTCTCTGCTCACATAAGCTAAAATCCTAGCCAGTCAACAGTTCTGACAGACCGCACCATCCTACCTAAACAGAGTTTCTTTGTCAAACACAGTATCTGCAGGCATGTTCACTGGTATAAGAAGATCTGGATGGGAGTCCAAATGGACAAAACTGATGTTGCTAACAGGAAGATGCTTTGAGCCAATAGCTCGGTAAATGAAAGGAAGGACCTGGAACGACACCAATGCAGATGTTTTAGTGCAAGAAAAACTATGGATAAACTTCATAATTCATCAAGTTTTCAGGGAACGGCATCAGAAAAGAGGGTCTCTCAACTAGAAACTAGTGGTGGCCGGAAATAATTTGGCTTTCCCCCACTCGTATTTGCAGCAAGTTCTTATGTGTTATTATATAACCCAAGAGCAATAAAATTTACTCCTGGGGCTGGGGGACGAGATAAGGGCAACGTTGTGGGGCTAAGAGGGAACACTTGTGAAAGGTATCATTGAGCAAGTAGCCACAAAGACTTAGGCTTTCAACTTTGCCTATATTCAATAGGAAACAGTCCCACGAATTCTTTGGAGCTGCTCCTCAATTTCACAAGGCAATGCATTTGCGAACTGCCACGAAACCATCTGCTGATCGGCATTTAACTTACCTCGTGATGATCTTCCACCACCCAAACTGGCAACTTCGGGTACGTGCGGAGGGAACTGCCCGCGCTGCTCTCCTGTCCGACACTCTGCTCCCCGCCGCCGAGGCTACTCATTTTGATCAGCTGATGCGCCGCAGAATGCTCGGGTCACCTAAGATTCTAAAATCGAACGTCAAGACCTTCACTGCAGGAAGGCCGTCGAGCGCAGGGACACGCTACGTTCTAAGGCCGGAATTCTAGCACCGACTGCGTTCCAAAGAGAATCGGGGACACGTCTAGACGTGACACACACAGGCATGTTGGGAAAGGAAAAGAGGGGGAGCGGTGATTATGCCATTTCTAGAACAGCGAATCTTAGCTGCAAGGTATCTCCAAAATATTTTGGTGTCATGCTAACTCAAACGAGTTAATCGTACGCTCCCCTGACTACTTTCCCTTTTGCTCGAAAGATGAACACTTCCCCCGCCGAAACTTCCGTTTTCATGTCTTGCACGCTCCTCCTTCCAAGTCTTTTCTTCCGGTGCAAGGGTTTTCCCTGCACATTTTCTCTGCCTTTGCCGGTACCTGCGTTCTGCGTTGTGGGATCTCAAAAGCGTTGTTTCCAGGTAAAATAAAAGCTGCTCTGCACTCTCGATAGGGGGGCGATGATTCTACGATGCTATGTAGGATTTAGATTATTATCTGTCGTCTTCGTTTTGCTAGGAGATGCGATGTCTCATGTTTGAGAATTCAGTTATTTTCTCCGCTTCTTATTTAAAAGCTATGCACAATATTGGAAATACATACATATTACTGGAAAGAGCTTCACGGATCTTTAACGCTTGGAATTTTAAATTTTCAACCGGCTTATCTTATCCTCTCTCCAATTTAAAATTGGAACCTCACCAAGTTAACACGGAACCTAATGAGCACGACGGTGTCTTGTTTTTCTTTTGAAAAGATGGAGTGCTTTGAAGATCAAGCCCTGTGTAAGGCAAAGAGTGCAATCAGATGTATCGTCTCCTCCGAAGTTAAGTCCTGAACTGTTCCCTCAAGGTATCCTAGAGTTACCAACAGGTAATAACAGTTACGCAGGAACTAAACAGTGTACAGGGTATTTTCTGAATTGAAATGATGTGTATACAATTTACAGCGCATGCTTAAGCATGCTCAGTCAGAAACAAATTCCAAAAAGTTAAGCAGGATTTATCTCCTAGTAAATGCTTAGGGGTTGCAAAGTCTAGAAGAGTCCCTTACGAATTAATATTTACATTTGAGAGTGTTTGAGTCTTTGCCCAAGAATCTGCAGGAAGATTTTATTGCAAATCCCAGGCATGACATTTGAAAGATTCTATGTAGATTTTTAGACCAAGATAAAGAACCAAAGCTCAAAGGTGAGTAGCAGATATGCAACTTCAAACATGCAGTGAATACAACTTACATAATTAGCAGTAATAATAATTTATGTCACATATTGAATATCCTTGAATATTAGCCAGTTAAGTCAGTTGGACAGTGTTGCTGAAAGTCTAGAAGGAGCAAGCGAGAGCTTTCTGATTTTGTTTTTAGGAAGAGATCATATCTCAGTCCCTGGGCATATGCTTTGCATATAGAGGATGCTAGGGTGAAATCTTTGCACCACTCCTTAGATATCAAGTAGCGGGAATACCTTCTGCAAAAAACACTGAAGAGTGCTGCCACTTAGAATAGATAATAGAGATAGACCAGACGTAATATCTGACTGGCCTTAGGTGACCTCAGAAAGCTAAGCAGGACCAGACTTGTTTTGTGCTTGGATGGAAGTCCAGGGCTATAGGCTTTACTAGGGAGTAAGACGACAGTTTGGAAGAAAGCGACAGCAAACAACTTGGTCCCACCAAAATTGTATTGATATATCCATGAAATAACTAGGAGTCACACTCATTTCAAAGATTTAGTCTGACTTGACATGTGATACCTGTTCTGCTAAGGCAGTATCATTGTAGTCACTGACACAATGTAGTAAGTTCAGAGGAGAGCTGAGGCTGGGGAAGGAGAAGGAAATCAGTATCAGAAGTGGTGACGAAGCGTGACTAAAAATTACACACTTTTATGTAAGCTATGTACAAGGACACAATTTAATGATTTAAATCATAATTCATTGACCAGACGGAAATATTCTATGATAATCATTTCTACTAAAGTGAGTTCCTGTTATGTGATATCATCTAAATATTCTTAAGTTCTCAGCGTGAAATAGAGATGGAGATATAATTTCAACTGATTTTTTTTAGTTTAATTTTCTTTATTTGTTTATATTTCAAATTTGTCACCGCCCATCTCAGTGTAAATAAATTTATTAGCACCAAGGAAATAAACGCATAGTGAAATCAGTGAGCACCATTAAAATATTGCAACATGGGCTTCTTTTCATGGCCTGCTGCTAAGATTAGGTTTTAGAAGGGATTCTTCAGGACCAGAAATGTATTCCTCCGACCCTCAGGAATGCAGGAATGTGTTCTGATTGCATTTTGTTTCATTTTCAGTTTGCTCTTCTGCTCCCTACATTTAACCCAGACACCTCCTTCCCCAAACCTGTTCTATCACATTAAATGATCTCTTCATTGATCTTCATTGTTTTGAGCTTTTCATGAGAGAGATCAGTTACCTAGTCTATTAACGTCTCCTCCATCTCTGTATTAGAGAATAGAAAAGCTAATCATTAGAAATATATTATTACATCTTTGACATGTTCATGTTTTTATTGAATGTTTTAAGGAAACATTTAAAATCCAAATTCAGTATTAAAACTCTGATTTTAATTTTTTTTTAGTAATTGATTTTTCTCTACCCTGATTTTTCCCACTTGAAATATAAAGCGGATCTTTAAAAATGTTTACAGATGCTTCAAAAGAGTAGCCAGCTCTTCTCGACCCTAACTCGAAGGAATGTGACAAATCAATTTTCCTTTCCTCTTCTTCTCCTCTTTCTAGCTGGGTAATGTCTTTTCATTCTGGTCGTGGATGCCCCCGGGGCCGAGGAGGAGCTACTGTACGAGCTTCATCGCAAACCTTTCGCCCCCAAAACCTGAGACAACTACATCCTCAGCAGTCTTCCATGCAGTATCAGTATGACCAGCAAACTGCAACCACATCCATCTATGTGAACCCTCCAACTACAAACTATGTACCTCCTAGGCCAGATTTCGTCCCATATCCCCCACCAATCCCCACTTCGCCTCAAAATTCAATCACCCAGTGTCCCCCCCGACCTCCTTTTTCAGGCCATCAGGTGAGGCAGACATTCCCACTTCCCCCTTGCTTTCCCCCAGCTCCTCCTCCTGTCCCAAATCCTGGTAACCCTCCAGTTCTAGCCAATACAACTGGACAAAACACATTCCCTTACATGATGCCACCTCCATCCATACCACACCCCGTGCCTCCACCAATAATGCCTCAACAGGTAAATTACCAGCCCGTGTATTCTCCAGCATACACCCAGCAGACCTTTTCGCCTCCTAACTTTAATAACTACCAACACAGTGCAAGCTCTTACCAAAGCAACAATGGCAACGCTAATAGCGGTGGTAACACCAGCAGTGACTTCCGACACCCAAGTCAGTATCCAGTAGAAAAATCCCAGGCTGAACGGAGGTCTCCAGAGAGGAGTAAATATTATGATGAACATCGCCATCGGGATCACTGCCATGGACACGGAGATCGGCATCGCTCCGCTAATCATGGGGACCGGCGGGATCGAGGGAGGAGCCCAGATCGCCGGCGACCAGAAAGTAGTCGGCATAGATCGGATTATGTCAGAGGAAGAACCCCGCCCCGCCATCGAAGTTATGAATGGTACAGGTAATCCGAGTTATCTCTGGTACTATTATTCTCAGCTCTCCTGTCTTGCTTTTTTATTGGGACTGAGGATCAGACTTGGCAGCTCTGCTGGTTGTGGGAAACACATTATAAGTGGCTCAGATTTAGTAGCTCACAGAAGAATGAGTTCCTATTTGCTGCTTTTTTGAACCTTACAGACTCCTGGGTTGATATAGGCTTGTACTTGTTGGTGCTCCTGGGTAACCCTTGGGTGATAATATTGACAGAGCTCTAAATACAATACTAACTTGAATGATCCGTGGGAATACACAAAAAAAGAAGAAACCTTGTTCCATAAGAAAGAGAAAAGAAAGGAAACATAAAACCCATTTAGTTAGATGTCTAAGCTGCTACCAACATTAGCACTGATGGTAATTTCATATTTGGCTAGTTTGGAAATCACCAAGACGTTTGCAATTCTCAAGTAATTTCTAAGTTAGCATCTTCTGTCCAAATTTAGATGCAACTCACATGCTGTTGCATCTTCAACAGCTATTATTCTTGACTTTGTTTCCATTGTGATCACTACTGTTGAAGGGCAGAATATCTCCAGAAATTCAGAACTGCAGGCAAGCAGGAGAAATCTGTTGGTCATGAAGTAAGGCTGTGTTTCTCTCCCAGCTAACTCAGTAGTAAAGAAGAGAGAGGTTTTCTTTGCTTCTGCTCATAACTAATGCTGGGAACATTCAGTCCAGAGGCAACCGTAGATGACTCCTTCTCTTCCTGTTTGATTCCAGACAGCAAGGAGAGGTAGAGGCATGTCAACTTTCTTGACTTCTCTGTTACAAATTTGAGTCTGTTGGGTATAGAGATTCCACATGCTTCTTCCTTCCATCTCCAGGTTTGATAGAGGGTTGATGGTTGTTAGAGCTCTACCATGGCAGATTAACAAAACTTGTGGGCTAAGGGGAGGGAAGCTTCATCTCCTCTATTTTTAGCTCCAGGTTCTCAGAAGCATAAGATTCATTTTGCTCATCAAGTCTAGCTTTCCTTCTACCGTATTAAACAGGTGTTTTGAGGTGCTCTCTTCTCCTGCCCTCCCCCCTCCCCTTGTTGTTACTATTTTCATGGAAAAAAGTGATTACTAGTTCCTGCTCAGATTGTTCTTCAGTGTCTCATTGCTAAAATTAGAAGACCAAGGTAGAATCGCAGAGGTATAGAAATAGGCGGGTAGGACCCATTGGTAATTTGGGTCACCTACTGTCTCCTAGACTAGTACCTACAATATCATTCTCCCTACCTGCTTTATTTGGAAGTGCTCTTAATGATATATGTGCCTACTCTAAATTAGGATTGATTTAAAAATATAAGAAATTTTACCAAGTACCTGAATCTCATGAAAGTTTGGTGTCCTCACATAAGATTATCACCATCTTTTGAAATGTAAGCATTTCGCAAGGTTTGGGGTGATTTTTATTGGGTGGCACCCACACCCTCGTGCAAGATCACGTGACAGCACCTGTTGCCTGAAAAGGCTGCTGATCCCTGTGTTGTATTATAGCAAAGCTGAGAATAAAGCAGCAATTCCTTCTTTTTTTGAGGCTCCATAAATGGTACATCTGGGTTCTTTTTCAAACCTTAGTTTGAAACCTATGACTGTGAAGCTGGTAAGGTTAAACAGGAAAAGCAAGGTAGCTAGTAGATGTTAATCATAAAATGGCATGGGGAGAGGCAATGGTATGTCTTGCACTCTGGAGCTTTTAGGTTGGTGATCTATTCAGTTCTGGTTCTCCCCATGTATTTTGGGACCTGAATGTTTCCACACTGAGGATTGTGATTTTTTAAACATTCTTAAAGGGAGCATCAAAGGGAAAGGCACAGGCACCGTGATAGTCGGCGATCACCATCTACAGAAAGGTCCTATAGAAAAGATCACAAAAGAACAGGAAGGTAAGATCGGATACTTGACTCTAAGAGCTGTTGAATGGACTGTTGTTTTTTTTGGTTTCTTTATTTTCATGAGACTGTCTCATGTGACCGTCCTTCTTCAATGAGTTGTCCCCCAAAGGTGTTCGAGTTCAACTAGCATCATCCAATTAGCTTGTCCATCGAGGTTAAGCATAATGGATGTGTAAGCCAACATATTTGAATGGTTAGGTTAGGCAAGGCAACATTAGTTTTTGCCTTTTGCTATGAGAAATGGTAGATGTAAAAGGGAGACTGTCCTAGCTTTATTCTGTCCCTATTTTATTATTCCTTGGAGGATATGATAAGGTATTTTGCAGTGGAATGACATTGTTTTTAATTAGATTTATCTTCTACCTTTATTTTGTACAATTCAAGGCAGTGTACATAATGCTCCCACCTTTTCTTTTCCCCATAACAACAACCCTGTGAAGTGGGTTGGGCTGAGACAAAGTGACTGGCCCAAAGTCGCCCAGTTGGCTTTCATGCCTAAGGGAGGACTAGAACTCACAGTCTCCCGGTTTCTAATCCAACATCTTAACCACAGCACTAAACTGGCTGTATGACATGCTGACAGCCCATCAGACAGAGATTGTCCTGGGATCACATGGCTACCTTGCAAGGCAAGGAAAAACCATAGCTTTTTTATGGAGGCACTGATGCATTTATACATGAACTTATATGTGAACTGGGGTTAGTTTTGCTACTAAATGTTGACTTTTACTTCCTTCCCTTCTTGCACAGTCGATCTCCCAGCCAAGACCGAAAGAGACCCCGTTGGGAAGAGGACAGGGAGCGGTGGTCAGAAAATGCCAATAGAGAGAAAAGTTATACCTCCATCAAGGACAAAGAGCCAGAAGAGTCAACAGGTGAAAAGAATGAGGAAGAAGATGAGGATCTACTGAAGCCAGTGTGGGTTCGCTGTACCCATTCAGAAAGCTACTATTCAAATGATCCCATGGATCAAGTGGTATGTATTCTGAGGAATTCTGGCAACCAGTGACTTGGATTATAAATAAAACTTAACAAAGCTCAGGTAAGAAATGTTTCCTGTACCTTCTGCAGCTCTCTGAATTCTCCATAAAGTTTCTCTAGAGTGTTGGGCTGTGCCTTGCAGAATAATGTGACACAGTGCGTAACTGAGAGTTACCCAAAAGTGTGGTAATGGGACCTGTGCCTGATTCTGGGCAATGCCTTTTCCTCTCCAACATGTCTCTGCACACTATTTTGCTGTGTTACAGGAAGGATCCTCCAGAGTCTTCTCATGGGCTGCAGAAGGGGAGAGAAAATAAGAAGCTTACTTTCCATAACTAATTTTAATTAAGTAATTTTAGGTTCTAAGACCAATATTGGTCTTCCCTTCCTCCTCCCAACTGTAGAATAAAATATAATATGATTTTTCATGGAACAGACCATTCATTCTGCCCTGCATGTTAGAACTCTCACCAAGAAAATAGTATGGATTGAAATACAAAACAAGCAAATGATATACTGCCAAAAAAGTGGAAGACGTTTCATTGTCCTTAATAAAGGATTTGGGGGCTGAAATATATTGGGCTGCACAGCAAAATCTTCTGGACTATTCTGAGTATCATCTCCCCATTTGTCCTGGTTTAAACCAACATAAAAATTGGCCAATTTAAAACCTTCCCTTTAAAATCTTAAAGGGAAGGTTTAAAATTAATATTAAGGAAACATATTAACTTTAATATTTAAAATTAATATTAAGGAAACATAAAAACTTAAGGAAACATACATTACAAAATTTTCCATTTTGTAATGTATATGTTTCCTTAATATTAATACAGTGGTACCTCGGTTCACAAACTTAATTCGTTCTGTGACTCTGGTCGCGAACCGAATTGGTCGTGAACCGAATCCAATTTTCCCATAAGGTTCAGTGTAAATACGGTCAATCCGTTCTGACCCCTCTGAATTTGGTCGCCAACCGATTTTTGATCGTGTCCTGAATCAAATTTCCCCATAAGGTTCAA